AGTAAAATCATGTTCCTAGTGAAATTTGCTCATATCACCAATTTACCATTTCAAAACAAATGGATAGGGCGTGATTGTCTATAGTGAGGGTGATGACCACAGCCAAGCCCAGAGGTATAGACAATGACCATGGATAAATCTGGGGGCCTAGGTGGGGTCAGATGTCCTACTACTTCCACTGGCTCCTGGGCTTGGACTCAGCTGTGGCCTTTATCATGGTCAATGACAACACTGTGGGTCATTCTGCAGCCTCCGCCTCCCGGATTCACACCATTCTCCTGCCTCAGTCTCCTGAGTAGCTGGGATTACAGGTGCCCGCCACTACAACCGGCTAATTTTTTTGTATTTTTGGTAGAGATGGGGTTTCACCATGTTCGCCAGGATGGTCTCGATCTCCTGACGTCATGATTCGCCCGCCTCGGCCTCTGGAAGTGCTGGGATTACGGGCGTGAGCCACTGCGCCTGGCCTCAACATATTTCTTTACAAATACAGTTCATCTGCGCATAACTGTCGTTGGTATGACTGTTTACACTTGCAGAAACATGGATTTTATTATTGTCTATTTTATTGTGTAAAGTGGCCTATGATGTGTTCTGTCATGTTTTTATGTTTCTCAAATAAATCCCCTTTAAAAATGTAAATAAATGGCCAGGTGTGGTGGCTCATGCCTGTAATCCCAGTACTTTGGGAGGCTGAGGCAGGCAGATCACCTGAGTTCGGCAGTTTGAGACCAGCCTAACCAACATGGAGAAACCCTGTCTCTACTAAAAATACAAAATTAGCCGGGTGTGGTGGCACATGCCTGTAATCCCAGCTACTCAGAGGGCTGAGGCAGGAGAATTGTTTGAACCCAGGAGGCAGAAGTTGCAGTGAGCCGAGATGGTGCCGTTGTACTCCAGCCTGGGCAACAAGAGCAAAACTCCATCTCAAAAAGAAAAGAAAAGAAAAGTACATAAATATCCTTTAAAGAATTTTAAATTTTTTTCCAGAATTATATTTTCAGAATTTTGATTTTTTGGGATTTCAGCATTCGGGATTGTCTCTCTGGGCTGTGATCAGCTCATGTCTGGGATGAGGCAGGAGCCTTGCTGGGGTGCAGGGAGATCAGATGAGGGGTAGGAGCAGGACCAGCACGGCAGGCGGTGGTCAGAGCACTCAGGCCTTGGTGGTGAGTGAAGCCTGTTGGAGGATACTGAGCAGCGGCAGCAACAAGACCGGATTGTTCTAGAAGATTGTCTGGGCTGCTGTGTGGAGGACATGTTTGAGGCTGGACTTAGGGAGGGTGGGGAGTCAGTGGGCTCGATGTGCACGTGAGTGCCTGAGGGAAATGGAGGCTCACACTAAGACATTTGGCCTGAGCAGCTGAGAGGGGCTGCAGAAGGTTGAAGGGGGCACCACAGGGCCTTGGGAACTTGACCATGAGGTGGGTGTAAAGGCTAATGGTCAACAGATCCCAGCGATTGTGACTGACAAGGAATAGCTGGGCTGTCAGGCCATCTGGACCAAATGAGGTCTGGAGAGGGTGAGTGGAAAGACCGAGAGGGGTCTGGGGCCATGAGGTCAGGCAAGGCCTGGACGGGGTGAAAAAAACCAGGAGCTCAGAGACCAGCAACCAAAGAGAAAAAGTCTGGAGAAGATGCCAGAGAACTGTCCTTTGCATGTGGTGGAAGGGAGGCCTCGGGGGCACAGGGCACAGGCTGCCTGGGGCAGTGCGCGCAGGCTCTCCCAGGGGGTGGGGGTGGGAGTTTGCACTGAGGGAAGGTGTGGGTGAAACTGTCTCCCAGAGAGCAGGAAAACAATTTTATTAGTAAGTGTTTGCTGCGGGAAGGAATGAACCACTCATTATCTGCAGAAGAGGCTGGGAGACTGGGCCAGAGCCCAACTAACCCAGCACATGTGTCCCTGGGCGCCTTGACCTACCTGTGGGCCCCAAGGGAAGGAACCTGGGGTCAGACGGAACCCCCTGCCCACAGCCAGCACTCAGAAACTGCTGAACTCCTTCCCACCAGGTAGCGCGGCATTCTCAGAGGAACAGAGGCTGCCTCCTCAGACACCATGAGGTGAGCTGAGTGCAGCTGAGCTGCCAACTCTAGGTCACTCTGTGGTAACGCATCACTCAAGAACGTTCAGCAGCTCACCCAGGAATCCCAAAATTTGAGAATCTGAAAACAGTTCCACATAGTACTGCATGGCTGGCACCTCAGATATTTAGGGCTTACTTCAAAAGTATGTTACTTTCCCCCCAGCATTCTTTTTTTTTTTTTTGAGACGGAGTCTCGCTCTGTCGCCCAGGCTGGAGTGCAGTGGTGTGATCTCAGCTCACTGCAAGCTCCGCCTCTCAGGTTCAAGTGATTCTCCTGCCTCAGCCTCCCAAGCAGCTGGAACTACAGGCGTGAGCCACTGTGCCCGGCTAATTTTTTGTATTTTTAGTAGAGATGGGGTTTCACCATGTTAGCCAGGATGGTCTCAATCTTCTGACCTCGTGATCCGCCTGCCTCGGCCTCCCAAAGTGCTGGGATTACAGGCCTGAGCCACCGCACGCGGCCCCCGCTTGCATTCTCAAATCTGACTTCCTGGCCCTGCTCCTTTGTGGAGGTCATTTTTCACATTTTTCTTTTCTTTTCTTTTTGTTTTTTTATTTTTTTTTGAGACAGAGTCTCCCTTTGTAGCCCAGGCTGGAGTGCAGTGGCGTGATCTCGGCTCACTGCAAGCTCCACCTTCCGGGTTCACACCATTCTCCTGCCTCAGCCTCCCGAGTAGCTGGGACTACAGGTGCCGCCACCACGCCCGGCTAATTTTTTGTATTTTTAGTAGAGACGGGGTTTCACCGTGTTAGCCAGGATAGTCTTGATCTCCTGACCTCGTGATCCACCTGCCTCGGCCTCCCAAACATTTTTCACATTTTTCACAAAGAAATGAAAGCCCTTTCCAGAGGGGTCACAGCTCCCCACACTGCGACTGCTTTACTTGAAGTCACATCAGGGAGTGCCAGGCTGGGGCTGCTGGTCTGAGGCTGGTCCTCTCCCAGTTCCAAGCAGGCGTCCTTTCTGCCAAGCCCTGTGACAGGAGGGGACGGCTGCAGCTCCCCCTTCAGCTATAAAAAGCCCCAACACCCAAGCAAGCCGAGGATATGCCGAGAGGACACGCCAGGGAAACCCAGCTGGGACTCAGGAAGAACCTTGACCCCAGAACCATTCTGAGGCTGCCCGCTGCCCTCAGGCTGCTCCAAGCCCTGCTGAGGCGTTGGACAATTCCGAAGGCCCACATCTCTCCAAGCCGGCCAAAACACCCACCTCTCCCGCGGTAAGTGACCTCCAAGGTAGCAGCAAGCAGTTTTGAGAACTCAGCCCATTCCCTGGGTTTTGGGGTGACACAGAAGTCCAGAATGGAAAAAGGGAGAGGTGACCATGGCCCTGGGCCTCAGCCATGACTACGACAGTGTCTGAACGCCAGGAAAGGGGTCTCTGCAGCCACTACCTGCAGACCAGGCTTCCAAATGGGCAGCAGAGTCAACAGCGGGGAGGGGCTCCCAGTTCTGAGGCTCTGCTCACCTGGCCAGAGATGGGTGCTAGGCTGAGCTCGGAGGCTTGGTGGATCCATTAACTTCATCCCCTTAAACAGGAAGAGGAGGGCTGCTTTGAGGGTCAGATGAGAGCACAGGTGAAAACTAAAACCTAAGTTAACCATTTCCACTCTTGGAGTACGAATGTCTCTGTTTTCAGCAGAAATAAACCAAGGTCAAGAAAGTCATCTGCCCAAGGTCATACAGCTAAGACCTGAACCTAGACTAAGGTCCTCATTCTAGGCCAGACCTCTGGGGCTAAAGTCAAAAGTAAGAACTGGTCTCCTACCTGGCATCTGATTCAGCTTCAGGAAATCGGGGAGGACTGGGCCCAGGCTGATTCGGGAGGAAACTGAGGGTGAAATTTGGCTGGTGCCTCAGAACCTGGCCACTGGAGAACACAGGGCTCCAGATAGGGTCTCCTTTTGCACACGCAGAGCACGGGGAATCTGACCTCTTCTCAGCCCTCTGAACAGGACTGCCATTGAGAGAAAGGGCCCTGTGCTTGTTTGCCTGCGACTTAAAATGTTGGTTGTTTCTGCTGTTCCGTACACACTCTGACATGCACAGCCACAGGTAACCAGGAGCGTGCACATCATGTTTGAGACTGGTCTGCCGAGCGAGGGCCAGAGGCTGCCAGATGTGCTGACGACAGTGGTTACTCACTGCTCACACTACACAGAGGTTTGAAGGCAGATGGCGATAACATGGCTAGGGGAGGGGGGCCGGGGCAGTCTGTCTCCCAAATCCCAGACTGTGGGACCTGAGGGACAGAGGGCAGGCAGGCAACCTCCCTTATTGGCCCAGGCCTGACTCCTCTACCAGCTTAGTGGGCTCGTGGGTACTTTCCTCCATCAGGAGCAGGCCACGGGGCTCTCACTCATATTCATCAGCTTCCTGGTTCCTGGGGGCTGGATCTCACCCGCCTGGAGAGCTACAAGAGCTCCATGCTGTCACTGCAGGCACAGGACTGAAAGATCGCATTAAACCGTCTTTCCACCTAACGTTCACTTTGTGATTCTCTGTGTACGTGCACCTCCACTCCCAGACGAGGAACCTCAAGGTGGTTTCCTTTACACGCCCAGTCCCAGAGATGGCTCATGTCAGCATTGGGGCACACTGGGTCACAAATGCTGGTGGCTATTTGAATGATGGGTGGTGCCAAGGATGCAGATGGATGCCTGGGTCGGGACAGGTACCTGACAGGGCTGGAGAAGGGAGTGGATACTCCTGGGTCTCTCTTGACTAACAATAAAGATAGGACCAGCTTCCTCGGTAGCCCTTGGTGTTGGGTTCTGCCCCAGTCTACTGTACGTGCAGGGAGGAGAAGGGCCAAGGCTGCCCCCACCACGTCTTCCCAAGGTTCGAACTCATGCTTTTTAACCTCCAGGCAGAGGCTTGGCCTGGAAGCTAAGCCCAAGAAAACAGAGCCACGAGAAGAACAAAGCAGAGGTGTTTATTATAGGAACATTCTCAAACCACAATGGAAAAGATGTCCGTACAGGTGGATGGGGATGGAGATCAACCTTGGAGTACATGGACTTTAGGGGACTTCCTGCCTCACGCGTTCTCTCTCTCCCTTATCACCTAAGACCCAGAGACCCCCACCCACTGCAGGAGAGACCCACAAAGAAGCCTTCTCCCTGTGGCCTGGCCCCCAACAGGGACAGTCCTGTTTTCAGAGCAAGAACAGTCTGTACTTCAGACAGGATCCCAACCCCTACCCAAATTCAATGTCGACCGTCTGAGCAGCCAGCTTCATCGGCTGCAAACGCCTCTCTCAGGTGGTCAAAGGAGACACGACAGGGGACCGGGGGGCCCTAGGTAAGGATGTCATGGGCCTGGTGCTCCACCAGCATCTCCATGCTCTTCACATCCGTGCACCAGAACTCCAGGCGGTCCTTCATTCCCTTGATCTGAAATGCAGATCCGGACACAAGGGGCATTAAGACACACAGGAGTCACAGGCCAAGTGGCCGCCACAGCACCTGACGGGGCGGCTCTGCATCTCCAGCCGACTCTCTAGGGCAGCTCTAATAAAAAGGACCTCTGAGCTGGGGGAGTGTAACAGGACTTCCCGGGTTAATTCTTATCACAAGGACATTAGAAAAAACTTGCATGAAAGAAAGCAGACAAGAATAGAGGAAATCCACAGGATTACATTTCCAGCAAATGGAAGATGGATGTGAGCTCAAATCACACAACCAGGAACGTATTTGATCGGAGTACCTATCTTAAGATTAAAAAGCACCATCAGCACAACTAGCACTATTATAATAATAAGCTTTTAAATGCAGGGTTCAAATCCCAGGCTTGCATTAAATTAAGCTCTTAGAAAAACCCAACAGCAGTAATTCATTCTCCAAAACCTCGTCTGATAATGCTTTCTTCCCAAATGGCTCCCATCCAAATGAAACTAAGACAGTATAGATACAACCCCCCAAAACCCACAGAGGTGAATAATGGTTTTCACACACAACACCTGCTGCAAATCCAGCACTCGGGGCTGCACCCAGGTCATGTGGACGCGTCTGTCCACCTCGTCTATGCTGCCTTTCACCAGCCCCACCGAAAGGGCCTTCATCACCAGGAGCTCCACCTGCGCAGACGGAGGCTTGTGTAAGACAGGAGAGCCTGACACACCCCCAGGGACCCAGATGGCCTCTCCCATCGTTTTTTACTGTCCAGGGAGCACAGCGCTCACACAAGAGCCTTGACTCCTCCATGTGGCAGCTCTGCTGCTCTAACACCCTGAGCCTAGGGACCATACCTCATTCACTGTGATTTTAGCACTTTTGGCAATTTCTTCAAAAGTAAGTTGTCTGTGATTGGCAGGTCGTGTGAAAGTCATCTGGAAAAAATTTTATTAACTATTTAAAACTATTTTTCCAAATAAAAATAGAGAACCGATAAGAATGTTTTGTCAATATTGGCTCTTAAAATAGACGTCTTATGAGTACCCCATACACTAAAAAGTTCCCTAATATTAGACTTACATCTTGTTAAGAACAAGCTTTCAATGCTTAGATAAGAAGGATAACAGCAAAATGCCTTATAGGAATTTTTGACAGTAGCCATTATTCAATCCCTGAACAAGTACTTGAGGCCACAATTTGGCCTCAAACCACAGGGTTGACCACGGCAAACCAGAAATGTAAGGGCCACTTCCTCAAGAAGCTTAGGTTCTAGTGGGGAAAGACAGACGTGTGTGTCAACAGGAAGCGACATGCAACGAGGAGGCAACCGCATCACGGTGAGAGGGGCAGCTACTTCATCTCAGTTCAGATGGTCAGGGAAGGCCTCAGCGGGGTGGCAGTGGGGTGGGAGGATGTCGTCTGAGCTAAGACCCAAATATAAACTTAAAAAAGCAAGTGGTGGCAAAGGAAAAGGAAGCTGGTGAAGAGAGTGACGCACAGCAGAAGCAGCAGCACTGAAAGCTCAAACTGCTCAGGACAGGCTTGGAGAGTGCAGCGCCCCCACCTGACCAAAATCTGACACCACAGACAAAGTGGCTCCCGGGGGTCTGCTTACCTCCATGAGGCACAACAACTGAATTTTCCTCAGAAGCTGGGCTTCGTTAGCTGCTAAATCAGGCTGTAAAGTACAGAAAGACGGAACAATGTCTTCCATGTCTGTGCTTATCAGTTACCTAACTGGGGCTCTGGAATTCGCTCTCTAACAGTAGACCGAACAAAAAGCAGCTAAGCAGATCCAAACATCTCACACTGCGGACTGCTGAAGCTCATCCACATCTTCTCCATTCTTCTTAGGAAATCTAACTGGGACACTTTGTCAAGGCAAGGAATTTACAAGGTAAGATCTGTATTAATGCTACAGACACCATCAGGCAAGGCCACAGGGTACCGGCATTTCGAGAAGACTCTCCTGGTCAAGGTGCTGTCGGGAAGGACACACCCAACAGCCCAGGAGGCTTCCCTCAGGGGCCGCTGCCTGCTCAGTGCCAGGGGAGTCCCTCAGGGGCCGCTGCCTGCTCAGTGCCAGGGGAGTCCCTCAGGGGCCGCTGCCTGCTCAGTGCCAGGGCAGTCCCTCTGAGGAAAAGTTTCCTTAATTTCTACAGACTTGTTCTGAATCAAAAGAGCAAGTTATTAATTTATAATGAAAAATATCATTGTCATGAGAACTAGAATACACTCTTCTGCAAGACGTGCATCATCTCTTCTTATAGATCAAAACGTTACTTAAACCAAGGAGACTTGTTTTTTTAATTCAAATAGCAACTCATATCCTGACACAGGCAGCCCCGCTGAGGACACTTCTTCCTCAAGCACTGGACAGGTCAAGCTCTGTAGAAAGGGCACTCCCTGTCCAGACAGGCTTTGCTGCCTGAACAGATGCTGCCAACATATATCTACAAATTTTTTCCCTTTAAATTGCTGTAACTAGCCATCTTCCTTTCTGAGTGGCACATTTTTTTGAGACATCAATGAATAACCAGACCACAGTTAGGTCTGGCTGCATCTGTGCTTTCTGCCTCTTCACAGTGACCTCGTCTATATCCACCCTGCTCCACTATGCAGGAATTTTACAAGTTTATGTTAAACTGAGAAAACTGAAAGTTTCAGAAAAATACAAAAATAACCATAATTCCTACCACAGTTAACATTTTATTAATATTTACTTCTAATAATCTCATTAAAAAAGAACATACTTCACCATTAAAGCTCAAGTCCTTGTTAAGCACCTTTTCCCAACTCCCACCTTCCAGAGGCACCTTCACCCAGTGCCCCCCTCCCCTTGGCTGAGGTGAACTGGCTGTTCTCCCTGCACAGACCTCTCCTCCTGCGCCCACTGCTCTCCCCATCCCTGCACCCACCGCTCTCCCCATCCCTGCACCCACCGCTCTCCCCCTGCACCCACCTCTTCCCCTCCCTGCACCCACCTTTTCCCCTCCCTGCACCCACCTTTTCCCCTCCCTGCACCCACCGCTCTCCCCTCCCTGCACCCACCCCTTTTCCCCTCCCTGCACCCATCACTCTCCCCCTGTACCCACCCCTCTCCGTCTCTGCACCAGGCACTTGTTCCTCCTTCATTCCACGCTCTCTCCCACCCACTCATGTTGGCCTCACACATTCGTCTTTCAGTTCAGCAAAGATACTAACATTTTCCTTTTCCTCCGCTGAGTGCACTGTTCCCACACTCTTCACTCATTCCTAAGGCCACACAGACCTTAGGTCACTATGGCTTCTACGCCTTCTGTGAGACCCTCTCCACCCAGCACAGATGCAGGGCCCACATTCGATTGTTTTCTCAGAACACCCTCACTCTAACCAACCACTTAACTCTCTGCTCTATGAGAGCAAGGACTAACCTATCTCGGTCTCCTCTGTGCCCAGTTCCTTCCTATGTGCCTAGGGAAGACGCTCAATGAACATTGGTTGTATGAGTGAGTAGATACACAGGGGAACAAGGGCTGGGGCATCCTCGGAGCCATACCTGCTGGCCCCAGGCAGTCTTCAGAGTCTGGAACCTCTCTACGTTGCCACTGTTGAAGGCATAGAGGGTGTCAATCAGCCACTGCCGGTCAGTGTTCCGCAGGGACTCCAGCACAGGGTGCATGAGCTGTGGGGATGGAGACGGTCAGCGCGGGGTGCATGAGCTGTGGGGATGGAGACGGTCAGCG